GGGGGGGGGCCACACGGGGGGGGGGGGGGGGGTTGCTTGAGGTGAGGGCACACCAAAGGCTGTGAAGTCTCTATTCTACCTCCACGCTCCGCCACCCCATCCCAAGACCACAGCTCCCAAGAGGAGAACCGTAAGAGATGCTTTGCAAAGGTTTCGCCTGCTCAGATAGTAGGATTAATTCAAGGTTCTTCAAGTGCTTGGTTATGATTCCTTGTTCTCTTTCCATCTTAAGCCACAATGTATTCATTTTGGCCACTGAGACTCTGAGAAACTCAGAGAAGTTACTGCCACCCTTTTATTCTTGGGGTCTATTTTTCCTCCCCAAGTTCAGGATCCAGAAGGGGTGGCACCACTTGCCAGGCTCCTAGTGTGTGGTTCTTGGGTTTTCTGCCATGACCCTCACTTCCCTGGGTGTCAGGTGGCAGCTATCGGTCTGATTACATCTGGGCTCTTCTCACACTTCTGCCCTCTGTCTGTACCCACCACCTTCCGGCAAACTTTCTTCTCACGGGCGATTGAGGGAATAAGGCCCTTGCCCTGCAGTCACTTCATGGAGGCGTTTTCAGACCAGCCCCATGTGTGAGTGCGGATTAGTAGGTAAGTTAGCATTGGGGACAGTTACAAAAGTCCTTGGTTTCAGGCATTCCCTATTCCAAGGAAGCCTTCTGCTTCCAACCACGATGTACACCATATGACACTATTTAAATTCAAATATAAAAATTAGTGTTGAAGGGTTTTTTTATAGCAAGAGTCTCATTAAACGTAATTTTTTCCAGTGAAAGTTCCAGGAATTCCCTCTGTGTGAATTGTGTACACATAGCATAAAAACTCATTGGGATTTTGGGTTTTAAGTGGTATTTTCTAAGCAGTATTCCATGTATTCTTTGCCAACACCTCCATGAATGGCCACACAGTGGTATTTTCTAAGCAGTATTCCATGTATTCTTTGCCAACACCTCCATGAAATGGCCACACACACACACACACACACACACACACACACACACACACCCCCCAAGCTATAGAGAAAGATGAAGACCGAACAACAACAAAAATCAAAGACACGCACAACCTACAGTGAGAATGTGTGAGAAATCCTTGCTGCCTGTAAGGGCAGGGGGACTTGATAACATGTCATGGGAATTTAGTTTTTCATTTACTCCAGTCATTCAGAGTATCAAAGAATCAGGCAGGAGGGTTGTCACTGAAATAAACTCTAGGCATAATATTTTTACGTTAACCAATTAAACAATAAAAGAATAAGAAGACTATATAGTTGAGTAATAACTAACATTGGAGTGAAGAGGCCTCTCAGATCAAATGAACAAAGGCAGAAACCCAAAGGGGACATTTGACAGTTTGATGTCATAGAAACCATAAGTGTCTATATATCAAAAACAACACACACAAAATATAAAGGCAAGAGCTAAACTGGTAAAAAAATATAAATATATATCTGTGTCATATAATGGGAAAGGGTTGAATTTTAAGTACAAGAATATTTATAAATAAGAAAAACATAACAGAAAAGGTAGACAAGCACATGAACAGGTGGTTCACAAGAGAAGAAAGTCAAATCACAAACAAATACCGAGTCATAATATTAACCTGCAAATCTGAACACGTGTGCTTTTATTGGGGGGTGGTCTTTCATGTTGGCAAAGATTGAGAGGAATCATAGTGTCTACTGGCTGTGCGAGGTGAGGAAACTCACACTCATTTATTGTTGTAAATGGGTACAACTTTTCTGAAGGGCAATTTGGTTGTACTTGTCAAAACCTTGAAAAAAGGCATCCCCTTTGGTGGTGTCTAAATATTTTTGAGCTTGTTCATCACAGTATATAGTTTTATGTCATGGGAAAGTGTTCAAATTTCATGTTCAGTGTTCAGTATGATGGTATGATCACTTTTCACTTGAAAAAGTGGTAGCGATGGTTATGTGCACTTTTTAAATGTCTTCTAGGTGCTATTTCAGGTTCCTAAATTTTGTAATGTGACTATGAATTTCAGAGGGAAGTAAATATTTATTTAAAAAATCTCTGCTACCACACAAAATCTACAAAATCTCTGCTATACGTGTAACAGTATATACCTCCTAGCAGCATCAAAATGCCATGTGCGTGGTCACGCAGAGTGGCATGGATAGCGCAGATTTTATACGAGTATAGCAGCTGGGCTACAGGGCAGAGGCAGGACAAGGGGAGAGCTGGCCTCCTAGGGTGGAGGTTGGCCTCCGTTTGGAACGAAAAGCTGGGTCTTTTGGAGGTCACATGCACTGCCTGAGAGAACTGCCTTTTAGGCTGTCCTTTTCCCTTCCAGATTCACTTTTCTTGGAAGAATACTTAGTATAGAAGAAGCCATGCATTAAATTCAACCTTGTGTATCACCAGAATTTGATTGATTGATTGACTGATTCAATTAAAGACCAGAGATAAAAAATAAAGAAAACTCCTAAAATTTTACCCCTGTCCCAACTTGTTCCATAATATATTTCCCTAAAGCCCTGTGAAGGGTGAATCTCAGTCTTCTATTAAGACAGCAATATCAAGGGGGCGTATAGGTAAATAAGTGGGTATAAAATTCTTTTCTTGTTTTACTTCACGATTTTCCCAGAAACAGTTTTCCTTCCTCAATGTTTTGTTACGTTGTTGACTCTGAACGTTATGTTCAATATCAAAACGTTAATGTGCCTTTTTTTTTTTTTTCACTTGAGTAGGAGGTTGATATTATTCTGTGTTGTCAAGAAAGGATGAAGCTGCATTTGGACAAGGCCATTGCCCAACTGGCGTAAGAGCTCTACCCTCTCTAGAAACTCTATCATGAAACTGCACTTCCACGCTTCCCAATCAGATTTCTCTTAGCTTCTTATGTAAGGATTTCTTATACATGGACACACATCCGCACGCACATACACGTTTTTATTTAGAAGGTAAAATGGGTACTTGGGGTACTTACTTTAAATTTTTATTTAAAGAAATAATTTTTGCAATGCTTCAGAAAGGATTTTTATCCTACCTTGAAGTGTGGCTAAGGTTACTTTTTTTTTAACATCTTTATTGGGGTATAATTGCTTTACAATGGTGTGTTAGTTTCTGCTTTATAACAAAGTGAATCAGTTATACGTATACATATGTTCCCATATCTCTTCCCTCTTGCGTCTCCCTCCCTCCCACCCTCCCTATCCCACCCTTCCAGGCGGTCACAAAGCACCGAGCTGATATCCCTGTGTTATGCGGCTGCTTCCCACTAGCTATCTACCTTACGTTTGTTAGTGTATATATGTCCATGTCTCTCTCTCGCCCTATCACAGCTCACCCTTCCCCCTCCCCATATCCTCAAGTCCGTTCTCCAGTAGGTCTGTGTCTTTATTCCTGTCTTACCCCTAGGTTCTTCATGACATTTTTTTCTTAAATTCCATATATATGTGTTAGCATACGGTATTTGTCTTTCTCTTTCTGACTTACTTCACTCTGTATGACAGACTCTAGGTCTATCCACCTCATTACAAATAGCTCAATTTCGTTTCTTTTTATGGCTGAGTAATATCCCATTATATATATGTGCCACATCTTCTTTATCCATTCACGGGCACTTAGGTTGTTTCCACCTCCGGGCTATTGTAAATAGAGCTGCAATGAACATTTTGGTACGTGACTCTTTTTGAATTTTGGTTTTCTCAGGGTATATGCCCAGTAGTGGGATTGCTGGGTCATATGGTAGTTCTATTTGTAGTTTTTTAAGGAACCTCCATACTGTTCTCCATAGTGGCTGAACCAATTCACATTCCCACCAGCAGGGCAAGAGTGTTCCCTTTTCTCCACACCCTCTCCAGCATTTATTGTTTCTAGATTTTTTGGTGATGGCCATTCTGACTGGTGTGAGATGATATCTCACTGTAGTTTTGATTTGCATTTCTCTAATGATTAATGATGTTGAGCATTCTTTCATGTGCTTGTTGGCAGTCTGTATATCTTCTTTGGAGAAATGTCTGTTTAGGTCTTCTGCCCATTTTTGGATTGGGTGGTTTGTTTTTTTGTTATTGAGCTGCACGAGCTCCTTGTAAATTTTGGAGATTAATCCTTTGTCAGTTGCTTCATTTGCAAATATTTTCTCCCATTCTGAGGGTTGTCTTTTGGTCTTGTTTATGGTTTCCTTTGCTGTGCAAAAGCTTTGAAGTTTCATTAGGTCCCATTTGTTTATTTTTGGTTTTATTTCCATTTCTCTAGGAGGTGGGTCAAAAAGGATCTTGCTGTGATTTATGTCATAGAGTGTTCTGCCTATGTTTTCCTCTAAGAGTTTGAGAGTTTCTGGCCTTACGTTTAGGTCTTTAATCCATTTTGAGCTTATTTTTGTGTATGGTGTTAGGGAGTGATCTAATCTCATACTTTTACACGTACCTGTCCAGTTTTCCCAGTACCGCTTATTGAAGAGGCTGTCCTTTCTCTACTGTACATTACTGCCACCTTTATCAAAGATAAGGTGTCCATATGTGCATGGGTTTATCTCTGGGCTTTCTATCCTATTCCATTGATCTATCTTTCTGTTTTTGTGCCAGTACCATACTGTCTTGATTACTGTAGCTTTGTAGTATAGTCTGAAGTCAGGCAGCCTGATTCCTCCAGCTCCATTTTTTGTTCTCAAGATTGCTTTGGCTATTCGGGGTCTTTTGTGTTTCCATACAAATTGTGAAATTTTTTGTTCTAGTTCTGTGAAAAATGCCAGTGGTAGTTTGATAGGGATTGCATTGAATCTATAGATTGCTTTGGGTAGTAGAGTCATTTTCACAATGTTGATTCTTCCAATCCAAGAACATGGTATATCTCTCCATCTGTTTGTATCATCTTTAATTTCTTTCATCAGTGTCTTATAATTTTCTGCATACAGGTCTTTTGTCTCCTTAGGTAGGTTTATTCCTAGATATTTTATTCTTTTTGTTGCAATGGTAAATGGGAGTGTTTTCTTGATTTCACTTTCAGATTTTTCATCATTAGTATATAGGAATGCCAGAGATTTCTGTGCATTAATTTTGTATCCTGCTACTTTACCAAATTCATTGATTAGCTCTAGTAGTTTTCTGGTAGCATCTTTAGGATTCTCTATGTATAGTATCATGTCATCTGCAAACAGTGACAGCTTTACTTCTTCTTTTCCGATTTGGATTCCTTTTATTTCCTTTTCTTCTCTGATTGCTGTGGCTAAAACTTCCAAAACTATGTTGAATAAGAGTGGTGAGAGTGGGCAACCTTGTCTTGTTCCTGATCTTAGTGGAAATGCTTTCAGTTTTTCACCATTGAGGATGATGTTGGCTGTGGGTTTGTCATATATGGCCTTTATTATGTTGAGGAAAGTTCCCTCTATGCCTACTTTCTGCAGGGTTTTTATCATAAATGGGTGTTGAATTTTGTCAAAAGCTTTCTCTGCATCTATTGAGATGATCATATGGTTTTTCTCCTTCAGTTTGTTTATATGGTTTATCACATTGATAGATTTGCGTATATTGAAGAATCCTTGCATTCCTGGAATAAACCTAAGGTTACTTTTAACTCACAAGACTTTTATTCTTTGATAAGAGGTAGACTTGTACACGTGCAGCCCTACAGCTGGAAAAGTGTTGAACTGTGGCACACTTTGATATTTTTTTTCCACTTCTCCTTAAAAACTCAGCCTTCTCCGTTTCTCAGCAGCCCTGGTACATGGTCCTCGGTGCTGTGATTACACCACTGCATTCACTGCATCCATTGCGCTGTAATTGTTCACCCATCCTACCCTCTAGCAGAATACAAATTCTTCTTCTCTTGGCAATAGTAGACAGTAGGCACTTAATATTTATAGTGGGGGTTGGCGGCAAAGAATAATAGTCAAAGGAGGGTTTGAAGCAATGATAGCGGCTGTCAGCATAGAAAAAGTATTGGCCGAGCCTGTCGCCTTATAGGACTAGAAAGGTCAACGTTCATTTGGTGACGGCCATGGAAAGAAGTAATGTTGAATGTCACACAGAGGAAATGATGATTCTGCCTGTACTGATGTTGTCCGGGCTAGCGTGTGATGTAGCCAAAGGAATAGTTGTTCTGAAGGTGGTGAGTCTTCTCACTCAGTCTGCTGACCATCAAGATTGATGCTACGAAGGTCGGTGAGATCCAGATGGCTGAGATCTCTCTCAAGCTGTCATTGGAAGGGCTCCTTAATTCAGAAATCGGTGAGGATAACTGAGGATTGGCTAAGGGTGACCGACTGCCACTTCCGCTGTTAATTTCTGGTTTCTGCTCCCTGGAAATTGCAGAAACAGTTTAGGGTGGTTCCAATGATTGTTCTGTTTTCTTCTGGTCCAGTTCCTAATCCTCATTTTTTTCGTAATCTAAAATCTGCCGTCCGTCTTCCATGTCCTTTGCTGTTTAATCCACAGTGGGCAAAATGTCCACCTCATTTCCTGGGGTGGTCTCTCCAGGGTCTGTGGGAGCCGGGATCTCTAACATGGTTACTGGGCTCAGTCCAGCAAAGGTGATGGGAGGAAGGTTTTCAGCTCCACTTGTCTTGAAGGAACAATTAAGGAAGGAACATGAGATGGGCTTGGATCTCAGCTGAGAATGGAATCTCATCAGAAATCAACATGGAGGCCTAGATCTCGCCCATCTTGGGCTCTAAGACGGTGGATGGATAGAAGGCCTTCCTAAGGAGGCTCTGAGGTCAGGTCAGAGGAGGTCAAGGGTGTCAGCCCAAGAGAGGAAGCCTGGGGAGCATCTTGGTCCCAGGCCACAGATGAGAAAGACCTAAGAATCCCAGAGTTTCAATGCAGTAACCTGAACTCTGAAGCAGCAGGGATGCAGCTTCCTCTCCTTTCATCCTCTTCACACGCGCTGATTTAGAATTCACAAAATGCAGATGACCTGTGTGCTGCTACCCTCATTTCCATTTTAGAAACAACAAAACAAAGAGCTTTGACAGGTCAAGTGACTTACCTGAAGGCACGGGCCAATTTAAAGCGGATTAGCCCCTTCAGTTCCACACGGGCTTTCCTGGGTGGCTCCTCTATGCCAAGACCTTTTTTGGGCGCCGGGAATAGAGAAATGTCTAGGATCATCCAGTTCTCTGGCTTTTTCAGATGCTCTCTGTATGCGATTGCCCAATTTTTATTTCTAGCCCAGACCTTTCTCCCCGATTCCAACAACCCACTTGGTACCTCCGCTTGGATGTTTAATGGGTACTCAAATGTAAAGCAAGACCTGCTGTCTTCTCTCCCAGCCCTCCATCCCACCCATAGATTTGCTCACCTCTGCTATTCCAATGGCTCAACTTTGGCTTTCTTTTTTTGCTCCAGAGCCTGTGCTCTTTATTTATTTATTTTTTAACATCTTTATTGGAGTATAATTGCTTTACAATGGTGTGTTTGTTTCTGCTGTATAACAAGTGAATCAGCTCTACGTATACATACATCCCCTTGTCCCCTCCCTCTTGTGTCTCCCTCCCACCCTCCCTATCCCACCCCTCTAGGTGGCCACAAAGCACGGAGCTGATCTCCCTGTGCTATGTGGCTGCTTCCCACTAGCCATCTATTTTACATTTGGTAGTGTATATAAGTCCTGGTTCCATCTTTAAAGCATCTCTAGAATCTGAGCATTTCTCACCTCCTTCACTGCCGCCCCGTTGGTCCAGGCCACCACCATCTCTCACCTGGGTAGCCTCACCGGTCTGCTCATGGGGTCTCTCTGTCCCCTGCAGTCCGTTCTTAACCCCACACCAGAATGATCCTTTAAGATTGTAAGTCAGTGGTCTCTCATTCCACTCAGAGGAAAACCTGACATATTCCAATGGGCAGCAAGGTCTGGTTCCCCCTCTGCAAGTCTTGGTATCACCTGCTTGAGGAGAGTCCTACCCTGACCATCCTATTTAGAATCATCGCTCACATTCCTGGCCCCCTTTTTCCTGCTTTGTTTTCTGCATTGTTCTGCTAACAAACCACAGTGTTTGCTTATTCCTTATGGGGACTGCCTGTCACCCCCCTGTAGGATGTGAGCTCCTCTAGGGAAGAGACGTTTGCTTTGCCCGTGATGCATCCTGGCACAGAGTAGGCACTCTGTAATGATATGTGGAATGAACTATGGCACAAGTCAGGACGTGGCTCACCTGTCACCCACGCCTGCCCCACCGGCCTGTCTCTTTGGGACTGAGCTGCCTGCCGGGACCTCTCTCTGCATGGCAGGGCAGGAACGCCAGGCATCTCAGAGCTCACCAAGTCCTCTTCCTTCCCAGGAGGGTTCTGGCAGGAGCGGGAGGCCGGGGGCTGCCGATTCCTGGCCTCTTTCCACACGCTGACTCCTGCTGGGGAGGTCCATTTTGACCCTCGGTTTCTACCTCCAGGCCTGGCACAACTGCAAAGTGAGGTCATTTACAGCTGGAGGGAGGCTGGCTGTGAATACCTCCTAACTTCTCAGGGAACTGCACTCTAGGAGTGGAGGAGAGAGGGGTTAGGATGTAGCTGAAGGAAAGGGGGGCACAGATGAGGCCTGGAGTCTTGTCTGGAGTAGCTTGGGTACTAGTAAGATGGGCCCCAGCCTGGGGGAGCTCCAGATACCAACTTCTGTGTGTCTGCACGTCTCACGCCCATGGAAGGGACAGTGTGGGCAGGGCTCTCATCGCCCACATGTAGGGACAGCTCCAGGGGAAGCTGCTTTTAATGGAGAGGTTGGACATCGTGGGAAGGAGGAGAGACCCAGAGAGCAGTCACGGGTGCGCATGGGGGGTGGAGGTGGGTCCCCACCCCGAAGGGCCGTCATGCTTCCTCCTGTGACGTTGTTCCCTTAGCCTGAAGCTCCGTCTCCCCTCTGTGTTTTAGAGCCAACAGAGCTTCCCAGCACGAGCTGGAGAAGGACCTGAGTGACAAGCAGGCGGCTTGCCGCATCGACGACAAATGCCACCACCTGCGAAACACGTCGGACGGCGTCAGCTGCTTCCGCGGAGTGGAGCGGGTGGATGCCGTGTGAGTAGGGCGCGTGCCGCCTCTGTGATTTCCACGTCACTTGATTCATTCTCTCTCCGTTCAAAAGGATGCAGCGCACAGGTAAATCGGAGATCCTGGGAGGACGCGGAAAGGTAAGAGGCACCTGCTATGGACAGGTCGTCAGTAAGCACGGCGTTCTGCAGACACTTGCATCCTGCTGTAATCCTTTGTAGAAGAATATTCATTGTTTAGATTTTCTAACTGTGAAAATAGCACCTGCCTGAGGCAGAAAAACCTAGAAAACACAGTTTAGCCCAAAGAAAAGAAAATGTTACCAATGTATCGGGTGCCCTGGACGGGGGCCCGGGCTGGGAAGTACGAGCTGAAAAGCAGCTGGATGTTGAATATACTTTATTCCCACCCTTTCTCACACCCGCCCCGTCCGTGGTTTCTTTGCCAGGCCCCGGATACGATCTTGGGTTCATGCTCTTTTCCCTCCGAGAGGGCCTGTCTTTCTGCATCTTGATAACCCTGTTATCTTTCTTTACCATCTTATAAAGATGGTCCTGTCCCTTTCACACCTCTTTGGAAAATAGTGGCACAGAACCTTAAAAAAAAATCAACTTGATTGAGGTGAAATTCACCTATGCTAAAATGCATTTGGCGTTAGTATACATTTTGATGAGTTTTAACAAATTTCTATGCCTATGTAACCATGACCACACTCATGGCCCCTCCCCCTTTTAAAGGGACTCCCTTTAAAGCTCCCTTTAGGGCTGGTCACCCCAAAGCAGACCCCCTCTTAGCTCTTCTGTAATAGGAGCAGCAACGGGTACCAACTTTGTCATTCAGATTCTGCAGGTGTGAATCAGATTCAGACCCCAGGTCCTAAGTGGTCCCCATGAAGTGCCTCTTACTTAATTTGAGGAGAGCAGGAAGCATCTTCCTTTTCTCCTTCTGGGGTGGACGTGGAGGGGGTGGGGTGGGCTGGGATCGAACCACACACACTCTGACCACTTGGTCCTCCATAAAGGGCCTCATCTATTTCCAGCATGAATTCTTAGCCGTCTCTTATAGGGTGTCAGGGTATGGAGCAGATAGGATGTTATTTTTGGTCATCATGGCCTGAACACTGCTAAAAATGAATCTCCTTACATATACATCTTTGGGTTATTTTCTTAGGATCAATTTCTGAAGTGGATTGATAGAGAGATTAGCATGACCCTTGCGCAGTGGTGATGTGCCAATTCAGGAAGCATTCTGTCCTTTTAGTCCTGGGATATAAAGTACAGCGTGGTGACTGGTTAACAATACTCTATGGCATATTTGAAAGTTGCTAAGACAGTAGATCTGAAAAATTCTCATTCAAGAAAAAAGGTTTGTAACTGTGTGTGACGGTGGATGTTGTTAGCTAGACTTACTGTGGTGACCATTTTGCAATGTATCCATAAATCAAATCATTATGTTGCACACCTGAAACTAATATAATGTTATCTGTCAATGAGATGTCAATAAAAACACTTTCTAAAGTGGAATTTCTGGGTTATACACATTTGCTCTCCGGCATGGCCTTACCAATTCAACTTTCCTACCTGCAGGATGAGAGAATCTTTTTCTAAACATGCTCACCAGAAAATTATCATTCTCTTCATCCTTTGTTATTCTGACAAAGGGTTGTTAATACGTTGTTGTTTTCATTAGTACCACTTTGATTAGTCCTGAGGATGAATATTTTTTCGCAACGCTTATGGGGCCTGTGAGACACATTTCTAATGAATGGACATACACATACCCTTCGCCAATCCCTTCCCCCTGCCCCTGCACATTGGCAGAGGACTTAATTTATGCTGCGGATTTACGGAGAGAAAGCACTCAAACAAGGAGCAATTAAGAAAATTTTAAAAGAAGCTTTGCTCTGATGTTTACACTTCATGCAAGTAAAACCAGGATCAAGTGATCTGGGTTTTTTTTTCTTTCTCAGAATGAACGGTTGCCTACAGAAAATCTAGGCTGATTCATCGTTGTTTCCATTGTCTGGGTCTATTTCTTTTTTCTTCAGGGTCTCAGTGCCCGAGTCCTGGGCCAAATTTACCCACGACAATATTCTTCGCTCCCAGAGGGAGCGAGCTGCCTCTGCGAAACTAAGAGACGACATCCAGAACCTCCTGGTGGTGACAGCCAACGAGACCTGGAATCGGTTCAACAAAGTGAACCTGGCTTTCACCAGCCGCGTTGCTGAGACTGCAGATGCTAAAAATAAGATTGAGAGTCACCTCGCAAAGGTAAGCCAAGCACTGGGAGGCCCCTGCAGCTGACCTGGATGGATAGAGCAGGGGGCCCCGGGACCACAAATCTCCACCGTAAGGGACGTGACGTCCTGGCCATACAGACTAAGAAAAATGAAAACTGGTACAAAGTGCACCATTTACTTTAGCCAGGTAGCTAGGTGTCAACATGAAATTGGAATCCAACATGAGTTGGAAATGGGAACACAAAGAATGCACTATGTCATGAAAGGTTCCTAGTATTTAATAGAAACAAAAATGTTATGATTAGCGTTCAATGCGTCACCGTATGTAACTAGGAAGTGAACTTATTAGTAGCACATATGGTAGGGATGTTTTCTGTTAAATTATTTCAGGCCTTTTTTTCTGGATACAAAACCAAGCACAGGAGGCTATTAAGTGGTTCAAAATGTTTCTCGTATTGAACTTTTTAAAAGTGCTTTAAGTATAAGTGTTTTATAAGGACAATAAGATGAAAGATTTAGGCAGAATTCATGGGTTTCAAGATAAACAAGGTGCTCTTGCTTTTTTTAGTACCGGTCTCGGAGTCCTTATTATTTCTGTGGGTTATGCTGCATATAGTTTTCTGGTTTTGTTTCTTAATTTAACTTTTATTTTATACTGGGGTATAGTTGATTTATAATGTTGTGTTAGTTTCAGGTGTAGTGGTTCAGTTATCCATGTATACATATTCATTCTTTTTCAGATTCTTTTCCAATATAGGTCATTGCAGAATATTGAGTGGTTTCATTTCTCTTTTTAAGAACCTTACCCTGTTGGCTCAGCTGCTCTCAGGAGGTATTATCCTACTGAGGGCGCTGTGTTTTCCCAGGCTGCAGTAGTGTGCCTTTCCTTCTCATGGTGTCTTCTTGGGGCGATACACATTGGTTGGGTCAGACAGCTTCTATGTCCAGTGAAGGGAAGAGACAAGGATAAAATGTAGTTTTTGTCCCAGGACGCTTATATTTCTGAAGAAGATGCACGTAATATGAAAAGCTCCTGCACGATGAAAAACAATAGAACATAACAAATCATGGTTGCCAAATGGCCAACACAGAAATTGTTCTGGGGGTTTGGAGGAAGAAGCAAGCATTCAGGTTGGGCAGCATCATGAACAAAGCCTCGGGAGGTGTAGCCAATCAGAGGTTGAGTCAGGTCTGTAAAGAGACCCTCTGGCTGGCACAGACGATGTATGTCCCTAGAGAGACAAGCTTGGAAAGGCAGGTGGAGCCAGACAGTGGAAGTCATTGATGGGAAGGTGTCCCCTGGGCAGTGAGGGGCCACCTAAAGGCCTTTTATCCATAGAAGGCTGACACGAAGGAGTCCCTGTGTTCAACAAAGTTTTGTTTACTACTGTATTAGTTTGCTCTGGCTGCCCTAACAAAGCCCTACAGACTGGGTGCCTTAAACAACAGAAATTTATTTTCTCCCCGTCCTGGAGGCTGAAGTCTGAGATCAGGTTATCCGTGGGGTTGGTTTCTCCTGAGGCCTTTCTCCTAGGCTTGTAGACAGGCGCCTTCTCCCACACCATCACGTGCTCTCTTCCCTCCATGCCTGTCTGTCTCCTAATCTCTCTCTATAAGGACACCAGTCAGATTGGATTAGGACCAACACTAATGGCCTCATTAAAGAACTTCATTAGCTCTTTAAAGGCTCTACCTTCAAATACAATCACATTCCGGGGTCTGGGGGTTAGGACTTCAACATACGGATTTGGGGGGGTTGAGGAGGATAGAATTCAACTCATAACAGCGACATTCAAGGTGCTGTGCCAGGGGCTTTGGGGTGTACACACATGATGACTCACTGACCCTGCCATCTTGTGTCTTGTGTGAGACAAGACACATACGTAGAAAATGATAAGTTCCATCAGAAAAGTGCAGAAAGAACCCTTTGGAGCTACAGATAAAAGGTTCAGTTTGTTTAGCAGAAGGAGCAGTTACTTCCAGTGGTGAGAGATGGGGGTGGCTTCGTGGAGCGGGGAGCCCTTGAGGGTGGCCTTGGTGATAGAACAGTGTAATGATTTTCAGCAGGTGGTTGAAAGCTTGGAAGAGAGGGCAGAGCTTAACCGACAGGTGAAAGAGTTCCCGGCTTTCACAAGTGCTGAAGCTGTGTGGCTACGGAGGTCTCTGCAGGGAGAAAGGAGGTAGCAGAGAAGGGGTCAAGGGCAGCACCTTGCACTGGAGTGAGGAGAAGGAGTTAGAGACAAAATCAGGGATTAGGATAGCAGTTGGCCAGAGAAGTAAGCAAGGCAAGGGTTTCAAGGGGAGGGACACTATGGAGAGGCCTCATCGTTGACTTTGAGTGCGTGGTCTCACCAGAGCAACCAGGGCCAGAGACAGGATATGGGGGCCACTGGGAGGTTAGGTGGGTGGCACATGGAGGGAGTAGGCAAGGCCACTGCTGAGTCCATGTGGCTGTGAACTTGAGGAGAGGCTGGGAAGGTACCAGCCGGAGAGGACCCAGGGGGATTGGATGAGAGCGTGGTGGTTCAAAGGAATTTGGGTGGTGGTTGGGGGGCATCTCCAGGCCACAGGAAAGCGGCTGAAGAAGAGGGGACTAATGGGGGTGTGTGGAGACACGGGGTGGGCAGAGGTCAAGGTCGTAGGCGAAGGAGAAGGCAGGGTTTCCAGAGCACAAGAAGGGGGCTTGCTTGTCAGAAGAGGAAGGCGAACCAGGGAGGGATTCAGGTTTAGGTAAGTGGGGGACCTTTTTTAAGGAGAGAAGAATATAAAATTGGGGTCACCAGATTAGCAGAGCTCCTCCCTTGCAAGTGAGACACCCCAAAGCTTGATCTTGATTTGCTTCAAGGCACATCCTCCCCTAGCAGGAAAACCTCTCTGAGATTAGTGAGGAGAGGCAGCGGGAAGATAAAGAAGCAAGGATGCACCGACGTGGGAGGGAAGCGGGGACCCTTGGAGCTGCTGGTCTCCCTTTTCTCGGAGTCACATGCAAATGTGTATCAGTAAATAACTAACAGCTGGTGATCTGAGGGAAACGGAGAAAGCGAGCTCGGATTTGCGGCATTCGCCCATTTCTGTGGCCTAAGTGCTCGCACGCTGAGTCGCGAGGAGATGCTCTCCAGAGGGTGGGAGCAGGTGCCGCACCTCCCACCGCGGGTCCCGGGATGGGGCTGGCGGGAGGAGGCCCTCAGACAATCCTCCTTCCTGTCAGGGGGAGGCCCGGCCACCGACGCACGGGTCGGGGAGCAGGCTGTTGAGGGCCTGGCACCAAAGCCTCGGGCGTTTGCTTCTCCTGGTACAGACCCTGCAGGAGATTTTCCAGACGGAGATGACCATCGAATCCATCAAGAAAGCCATCAAGGACAAGTGCGCCTTCCTGAAGGTGGCTCAGACCAGGCTGGATGAGCGTACGCGGAGGCCCAACATAGAGCTCTGCAGAGACATGGCTCAGCTGCGGTGAGCAAGGGAGAGGCGAGGAGGGGAGGACCAGGTGGGGGTCACGGTGATGGGGAGGGGGGCGCCCTCAGGGCCGGCTCGGGCTCCTCTGGGGAAACCCCCAGGCTGCCGGCAGCTGTGAGCTCCTAAGGCTCCTCCACCAGCACACAGGGATGTAGGGTGGCCTAGTGATGGTCACAGTGCTAGAGCCTCCTTTAAAGTGTCAGTAACGGGGTTCGTGTTTAACAGCCCGGAGTTTCGGTTTGGGATGATGAAAAGTTCTTGAGGTGGAAGGTGGTGATGGTTGCCAAGTTTGTGAATGTACTTAATGCCAGGAACTTAAGAGCTGAGATGGTAAATTTTGTGTTATGTCTATTTTACCGCAACTAAAACAAAAAGGAAATGACATCAACACTACACACAAGAATAGTGTTAACACTTAGCCTCATTCAGGGGATGAAGGTGACGTTGGGCTCCTTTGCACCTCCCTGGAGTGTCCGGAGTTTCCAGATCCCCTGTCTCGGAAACAGTACAGAGGTTGGCCGCTGTGTGTGTCCGAGTGCCCCTGACTCATCGGAAAAGGGACTTTGGGTACCAACTCCCCCCACCCCATCTGCTTGCTCTCACCGTTGCTCTCATCTGCTTCTTTGGGTGTTTCATTCCTGC